TTTTTAATGGCGTTCAGCTTATAGCTAGCTAGCTACCCATGAAAATTATTTGAAAATACTTTTGCAATGGAGACATTTTAATATACTTCTTCTGCAATCCAGAACCATCATGGAAAGGTTGTTTTTGCTTATATACACTTGTTTTGATTATGCTATACCCAGCAGTTCAAGTTCAAATTTTGATTGGCTCTTCTAAATTCCATGAAGGCAGGGGCCAAGTGTGTCCTCATAACTCTGTCTTCAGTGCCAAATAAATACATGGTATATAATGTGCACTCAATGGACAGCTATGGAATAAATGCATATTTCCTGATTCTAGTTAATTGAAATATTCAATAGCACTCTCAGTGCTAGAATTTTTTCTCTCCTTTTGCACTTAGCCCTGCCAAACCAACCAGAGACTCTGCTAATTTTTACAAAGAAAAATGTCCTTTCTTAGAAGAATATGTATTGAATTGGCAAAAAGCATCTAATAATCAAATAATCAAATTTGGCATTTAGTTCTTGAATAAATCCTAGCAAACATGGTAACAATTAAGCCATATGCTCCATGTCACACATCGCTTCTGGTACAGCAATTTCTGTCAAAATAAATAACATTACGGTGTGTCCTCATCCACCTTATTCACTAGATCTGGTATCCTGTGACTTCTGGCTCTTCCCCAAAGTCAAACTGACCATGAAAAGTAAACGTTTTGAATTCATTCAGGACATGGAGGTAGCCATGACAGCGCAACTAAAGACACTCAGGACTAAACTGAAGACAAAGCAGGACTTCCAGAACTGCTTCAGAAAATGGCAAGAATGATGGGATAAGCATGTTCGAAGTGAGGGGGATTAATGGCAATGTGTCTTTTACTGCAAAAAATTTTATTTAAACATTCACCGTATTTTTTGATCACACCGTGTGTGTGTGTGTGTGTGTGTGTGTATAATATATATTATATATGTAATATTAACTAGTAAAAACAGAACAAAGTAGCTTACAATGCTATTTTCTTAGCTGTCTGATTTCCTTGATTGAATTCAAATTAGGAAAATACACTAGCCGAGATTTCCCTACAACACTGTTCCTTGCAAAGAAATAGGTATTTATATGTTGAAACTGGGAGGAAGCCTAGGTATTATGTTACAGAGTTTGCCTTATGAGAACTAGAGAAACCAACTGATGAGTTGTTTCCCTCAAGTTGGATTCTTGGTTGACAAAAAAAAATGAAAGTTATTGGTGAAGTTCTGTGACATCATTTTGCAGTATTATTGGTAGGCTTCTAGTGAGCACATTTTAAATGAACACAGACAACTGAATGAAATAGTGTCACACCTATTCAGGTCCCATTAGATCAAAGGGGAGCTGAACTGTTGCTTATTCCTTCAGACTAGGGGCTCTTTTTAACTGTATAGTCACTATTTGGGTCCTTATATAAATTAAGTTCTAGGGAAGTAAAAGTATATTAATTAACATCCACTTATAAAATGAGTTTAACACTAGTAGTGTTAGACCCATTAGCCATTTTCTTGCTCATCTATGTAGCCAATAAAACAATGCAAAAATATGCAACTGAAATTTGTTTCAGCTATATGAAGTCACTGATAGTGAAGTCGGAGAACTGTTCAAACCACAACAAACGTATTATTAGATAAGTATCTGATGAGTTAAATCAATTGAAAATAGAAAAAAGGAAAATGTATATAGATGCCATAGTAGAAGCTTTAAGACAAAATTATTTGAATAACTGGTTAATAAAGGTCTTTGGAAAAATTAAATCTCGAATATTTTTGCAAAAACGACCAACTCTGTGATCAGTGCATAAGTCAAAAGTGTAATGTTGTAAAATATTTTTACCATTTTATTGGAGAAACTATACTCCATTGCCCCACAAATCAACCTTGATTCATGAAATTGAATGAGTTGTTTCATATTAATGTAGATCCTTTCATTGCCATTTATATAAAAGTGTGTGTTGTGTATCAGTTTGGATAACTTTATAAATGGATATTGTCAAGTTTTCCCCAAGTGTGTTGTGCAGAATACCTGAGTCGCAATCATCTGTGAAAAAAAGGATCCACACTTGTACAGAGGTTCCTTTGTTCTTGCCCATCCTTTTGGGTTTGGCTAAAGGTGAGAAGGGCTGAAGGGGAGACCAGCAGGACATTAAAGGGAAGGGGAAATTAGACTATTTATTCCTGGGTCTCTTTTACCCCTCTCCTGCTAGATTGCCACTAGTTCACTGGCTGTCCTCCTTCTAAGGTCACAGTGTGAGGCAGTCCTCACCATTTAGCTGTTCTCTCCAGTTAACTGTTCGCCTTCCCTTGCATCTTTAGGTCTGGAGATGGTAACAGTGCTGCATCCTCCCTTGTTGGCTTCCCTCTATTAAATGTTTCTCAATTACCCACTGTGAATGTACCACCTGTTTCCTTCTGGGATGCTGATTTATACAATGGGTAAATATTATATTGCCTTCTTGGAAAGATTCAACATTCACATTAGCACGTTCAAGTCTCTAAATAATACAGCAGTAAATGCCTAACTTTAGCCTAGTGTTTTCCAAACTTACTTATTCATGGCACCCTTTTTCTAATAACATATCTAAGAACATCCCTTGAACACTGGATTATAATATCCCTTACCTTAAAATAAACAAAGCCAAATTTAATGGTTTAGTCTTGATGTCTCTGGGTTATCATCATAAATATCTGTAATTGTTCCATGCTGTCAAACATTGAGGACCTGAAGTTCTACTGAGGTACATAAGCCTAAGGCTGTTTAGTCATAGCATTGATGTGACCCAAGTGGCTGTGCTTTTTTGGTTTTATAATCCAAGTATCTCAATGTCAGGTTGACAAGTATACTCGTATCTTACCCATGTGCTCCTCTCCCCTGTGCTCTGCATCTTATTTACCACCTATAGTCTGTCAGGAAACCAAATTACCCAAACTTGTTGAAGTTATATCTAAACTAAGATTAAATGTACTTAAAGAAGTGCCTATGATTCCCCAATAAGCACACTTCAGTACCTAAACAATCACATCGTTTTGGCTGGTTGAAAATTGTATCCCCTTATGCTTGATATTTCAGTTATGTGGGATGTTGCTCTGGATATACTCTTTGAAAATAAGTCCACTCTTATGTGGTCGTTATTAATGCTGTATATTCCTGGCTTATTAGCAAATGATAAGATTGCATTTCCCGTGCTAGGTGGTTATGTGACCAGTTCTGTCCAATGAGTTGAACATATTATTTCCTAACCAAGAACTTGAATTGTGAGACACTCCAAAGCCCTTTTTCTCATTTTGTCGAAAGCACTGTTCCAGAGTACATTGCGTGTGGGTCCTTTGACGGACATGAAGCTTAAGTGAGAAATAAATTTACTTTCAGGTTGGTTGTTTTCTGTGGACTATTGTAGCCTATCCTGACTTAACTTTAAAAAGGTTCTTCTGCAAATATAGAAAAGGGTTCAATCTAAATAATTTATACAATGTTATGAAGAACATTGTTTTTAAGGAAAATGAGTATAAATTACACATGCGGAGTTGAACTCTTATAAGTTTTAAGAATGGTCAGGCAGTCATAGCTGTGTGTGGTGGAGTCACACAAGTTTAAATGCCTGGGTTGTACCACTTATCAGCTAATCATCAAACTGGAGGCTCAAACCCCTTAGGTGATTATATAAAATTGGGGTAATAAAGAATTGTTAGGTAATCAAAATCATGAAAACTGACAATACCACCCTTAATAAATGGTAGCTATCATGAAAGCTATATTAATCAACTGGTTAGTCTGGCAATCTACATCAAATTATAGAATTACTGTCAATTCCTTCATTCATAACTTAATACATACAACTGGTTTAATTAATTCAAGGCAAATATGTATTTTCCTTCCAAGACTCTGCTTAGGCTAGTTACCCCAAAGATAGTGCAGAACCATTGTGTCAAACACTTTAAAATCAGTCTTTAATTTTCAATTCAGGTGTAAGGAGGCATATATATACATAATTTATTCAAGAATCAAGGAATATGTATATCATAAACATGTACATCAAACATGTATTTTTTCAAAACTGTATTTTGTGTACATGTAAAAGAAACTTGTTACTTATGTTTCCATTTCCCTTTGAAATTACATTACCTGAAACTTCAATAGAACACATTCTCTAATTATGGCAAGGGCTGGGTTACTTACAACTCATTGGTGACCAAAATCTGGTGACACCATCTTTGATATTCTCTGCCATATTTTTAAATGCCGTGAACAGTTATATTTCTGATGAATAGAATGGCATTTTAAAACAGACCCCAGAGACTGAAATTCTTGTTAGGGGACTATAATAGCCTTTTGAAGTGCTCTGTGACCAGATGGGACTGAAGGCCTGAGCAGGGATACTTCTAGACATGTATCTATGTGAAGGTGTGGGTATAAAAAAAGCAGTCCTAGAAAAAGGGGGCATTAGGGGAATAATAAGTGAAGGTTGCAGTGTGCTGCAAAATGGCCAATAGCACTCGTTTGTAGGTTTTTCTTTCAACTAGAAGATTTCATTTTCTCTTGCTATGCTTCAGTAATCACATTACTTACATGTCAGCAACATGGTTCCTATAGACAAGCCTTATGAACTAGTCGCTGTTTACATCATCAGATTGAGGGAAATTACCCAAAGCCAAGTAACCAAATTTTAGAACACCATCTGGTAACATCCTGTATTAAAGACCTCAACTCATATTTCTACTTTAATTCTAACTAGATATAAGGAATCTCCCAGGATATATTATGGATATTCCTATAATGAGTCATATTTACAAGATAGAAAATATTTAGATAGAAAGCAAATCTTGTATCATAATACTGTACAGACAAGGTTTATAAATTGATTTTTAGCACCATACCATATATACAACCCAACACTGCAAACTGTTTCAAATCAGTATGTTTCATTAATCATGATGGCATTTACTCTCAATAAACACAAATGTTTTATGGGCTATGTGATAATAGAAACGATCAATTACACAAGTATCTTCTCAAGAGTAGGCAGTACTAAAAATAAAAAAAATATATAGCCAGGTTAAATAACTTAGCCCCAAACACAAAATATCTAAGATTTAAGAACCAAGGGTCCCCAGATGCCACTCGTGTTCCTTTTGCCCCAGCTCTAAATTTCAAGAATGAACTAAGTGCTAAACTGCCATGAAGAGATGGAAACAAATTCTATACAGCACAAGGTAGAGTATCATTTTTTTACTCAAATTTTGATTTTTTATTCCATTGTAACTATTAAAAAAAAAAATCAGACAAGGTCATCTGATTTAAGTCCCTTTTAGATTAACATGAGCTATGCAAAGGAAATATTTCAGATTACTGAAAAAACTTAACATCTATTAAATGCTTATGTGCCAAATAATCATGTTCAAATTAATTTAAAAAACTATAAAGGCATGTAATTAATTTGCAAATGAGAAAACTTAGGCTCAGACGTTGCCCCAAACCAAATAACTGGTGGAACTGAGCTTCAAATCAAGGACTCCCCTATTATACACAGAATAGTACACATTGGTTCAAAATTATCTAAACCTTTAAAAGCAAAGTTTATAATGGAAAGCACTTTAAAATATTAAACAGTTCTCACAACTCTAACAAATTGTGTCTATAAGGAGCTTACTAAAACGCCAACTTCACTTTGTTTCTTTAAAAAGACACACTTTACTTCAAATGGCACTAAGTGAAACGCAATTCAATCTTAATGTTTTCTACAAAATAAGTTAACTTTAAGCCAAACAATGTCAGTGATGATAAATGCATTTCATTATTTATTTAGATGTTTAAGCTCTCGCACTAGATTTTTCCAAGCTGGTGAACACTGACAAATTATTTCTCCCACAGAACTATAACCACACATTCCCAGACGGTATAAATATATGGTTGAACTAACATTAATACACATCACCATTTTATCAATTACATAATAAAACAAATTATCAAGTATCCAAATATTAAGTTACACAGCTCAAAAGGCATATAAAATATTA